ATAAGTCCTTAAGAACGTCTTTAATTGTTTTTGCCTTTTTGCTGCTCCGGGAAACAAACTAATCAAATAAATGATGGACACAAATTCACCCCCGTGTTGACAAAGTTCAGCAGCAGCTGCTGCTGCAGCACTTGCTGTTCAGCCTTTGCTGTTACTTCTGTAGCGCTTGCTGTTCCAGCATGTGCCGCTGCTGCAGCACTTGCTGCTGCTGCTGCACTTGCTGCTGCTGCAGCACTTGCTGCTGCTGCAGCACTTGCTGCTGCTGCAGCAAGTGCCTAGCGGAAGTCGCCGTGTGGTGCGTGTTGCTGCTGCTGCTGCTGCTGCCCCGTGGCCCTTGCTGCAGCAGCAGCAGCATGTGTCTCCAAGTCCCCCAGTTTGTTCCTCAAAATGTCGAAAGCCATTTGAACAATCTTCTCGGCTGGCATTACCCCAGTAGACTGAGCATCAGCAGCAGCAGCAGCAGCAGCAAAATTTAGCAGCAGCAGCAAAATGTAGCAGCAGCAGCACCAGCAGCAAAATGTAGCAGCAGCAGCAAAAGTAGCAGCGGCAGGGGTAGTAGCGGCAAGAGCAGTACTAGCTGCAGCATCAGCAGCAGCTGAATTAGCTCAGTTAACTTGGCACAGCCAGCAAACGCAGCAGCAGCAGCAGCAGCGATGAAAGCAGCAGCAGCAGCAGGAGCAAAAGCAGCAGCACGTGCGGATATAAAGAGGAGGCAGCACAGTAATCAGAAGCAAACTGAAAAGGAGACAAATAAAAAGAGACAAATAATGAAAAGTGAGGATAATAAAAACGAGACAAATAAAAACGAGACAGCAGCAGCAGCAGCAGCAGCAGAAGCAGCAGCAGCAGCAGCAAACCTCGACAGTGAAGAGGAAAGTCCTTTCGTCAGGAGACACTTCCACCACGCCCTTCAAATTCAACTCTTTCGCCTTCTTCGTGCACTGGCTGCAGTACCTGCAGGAGCAGCAGCAGCAGCAGCAGCAGCAGCACTGAAAGCAGCAGCAGCAGTGAAAGCAGCAGCAACAGCGACAGCTACACTAGCAGCAGCAACAGTAGTAGTAGTAGAAGCAGCAGTCAACAGCTACGGCAGCAGCTGCAGCAAATGCTGCAGCAAGGGTAGTAACTGTAGAAGCAGCAGCAGCCGCAGCAGCAGCAGCAATGGCAGCAGCAGCAACAGTAATTTTGACAGCAACCTCAGTGGCTGCAGCAGCAGCAGCAGCAGAAGTTATTGCTGCAGCAGATTATGCTGGTATATGTACACCAGCATCAACAGCGGCAAGAGCTGCATGAGCAGCTGCAGCAGCAGCAGCAGCAGCAGCAGAGACTGAAGCAGCAGCAGAGACAGCAGCAGCAGCAGCAGCAGCTTACATGCAGTCAAGGGGATTTGCCACTCTAAGAATGCCGTTGCCTGCAGCAGCAAAAAGAGACAAAAGAGAAATATGAAAATAAATGAAAGTTTTATCTTTAATTAATTCTAAATAAAGAAACATTAAAAAAATAAAACGAAAAGAGATTAAAAGGAAATGAAAAGATAAAAAGGAGTAAAAAGATATTTAAAAAAACAAAATATTAAATTGAATAAAAAAGGAATTAATAAAATACAAAAGGAGGCGAATGGATTTAAGAGAAATAAAGAGGAGACAAAAAGAAATAAAAGAAAAGACAAAAGGAGACAAAAAAGAGAAATTAAAAAAATAATAAGAAATTAAAAAAGATAAAAACAGAGAAATAAAAAAGAATCAGAAAAAGACAATCAAATTTGAAAAATAAAACCAGAAATAAAAATAAAATGAAAATAGAAATAAAATTCAAATTAAATTAAATCAAATTAAATTAAAGCAAGTTAAATTAAATCAAATCAAATTAAATCAAACTGAATTAAATTAAATCAAATTAAGTCAAATTAAATTAAATCAAATCAAAATCTTCTGCGGGTCTTCTGTTTGAAACAAAGAATTAAATCTCATTATTAAATTCAAAATAAAAATAAAAATAAAAATAAAAAAGGAAAGTGTCTCACCGCCGAGTTGTGTGTCGTCTTCGAATTCGAAAACATTTCGGGGACAAGACTCTGCACTGCAAATCAAAATAAATAAATGAATGAATAAATAAATTAAAAAAAATAATAAATAAATAATAAATAAATAAATAAATTAATTAATTAATTAAGTGGGAAAAGAAAGCAGAGAAAAAGAAGGGATGGAAGCTGAGGGCTGCTGCTGCAGTCTCTGCTGCTGCTGCAGTCGTTGCTGCTGCTGCTGGTGGAGTCGCTGCTGCTGCTGCTGCAATTTGCTGCTGCTGCTGCGGCCGCTGCTGCTGCTGCTGCAGTCGCTGCTGCTACCGCTGCAGTCTGCCCTGCTGCTGCTGCAGCCTGCGCTGCTGCGGCAACAGTCTCTGCTGCTGCTACTGCGGTCCCTGCAGCAGCCGCT